TTGGAAGATGCAATCTCATTTTCTGTTTACTGGAAGCAACAGGGAGCACTGTGTCTCTATAACAAGGAATTTGTCAATGGAAGGCTATTCCCAAATCTTTTGCAGACCAGAGCTCTATGCTTGTCTGCTCAAGATACATACTGCCTGTTACTCTTCATAGTTTTCTCCAGAACCTGCTCTTGAACCCAGAAATGTGGGGATGAAAACTACCCAGACTTCTCAAAATAGCTGAAAATGGTCATTCCTGAAAGGCTTGGAACTTTCTTTCATCTACATGTGCCAGCAAGGGTTTATGGCAGGGCTCAGCATGATCTACAGACCGCTATGATTTAACCACGGATCAATCAACCTATTAGGGGAAAAAAAGACAAGGTCAATAAGGATGGGTCTTGGTGAACCAGAGGTCATTTTACATTTTCAACCTAATGTTCTTATTTCCTTTCCATTAACATTTCATAATGAAAAAAATTCCTATATTCTTTAATTTTTAAGATAATTAAGTGAATTTAGTGCCTTTGAAAGGTAGAGGATTTATAATGGTATCAGGGAATACACTATTAATAATCTACAAGACAGGGGCCACCTGGAGTGGAGCAGTGCTGCCTGTATCACCATTTCTGCTTCTTTGGAAACAAGGTTCAAACTGTAACAAGGTTCAGCCTCCTTTGCCAATTCAGAACCAAACTTCTCTCCTGAGACCAGAAAGATTTGTGTCTTTTGGGATGGGACCTCTATCTCTTGAAAAGTGTTTTTTCACTAACATTTGATTTTGAGTTGGAACAAATTATAGCAAGCACAGATATTTCTGAGATCTTGGTATTCTCTATTTACAAACCCTCAAACACATGATAGGAGTAAAGAATTGTTCTGGAGCTTCTCTAAGAAAAAAAAAAAAACAAAAAACATGGCATCTGCCTCTAAGATTGTTACAGCCTAATAACTGGCAAACGTGAACCCACAGGGGCACAGAATAAGAGAAAGAGATTTACATGCCTGCAGCCAGGCCTGTGTACATAGAAACAAAGGGCCTACAGACTAAAGGCTGGCTTCCTTCTGAGTTCTCCAAGCTGACCATCCTAGGTATCATTTACTAAAGATAACTTCATTGATTTTTGGATAAAGATGATAAATCAACTACACCCATTTTCTTTTGTTGTCTCCCCATGCACTACTAAAACAAAAATAAAGGTTTTTTTAATGCATAAATTCTCAAAGCCAAAGAAATTGGGAAGGGACTTAACAGTGACAAAATTTTGGACGCTGGAAAACAGATGGATGAATAGGAAGTAATTTAGCAAACTCAAGACAGCCAAAATAACCTAGCAATAGGAAAAGCTGAGAGGCAAGCAGATTTATACCATAGACTCCTCCCCACAAATAGCTCAGGAATTGACTAATGAAGTACCTTTGGAAGTGCAAATGAAGATGGGCTTATAAACAGGAAAACAGAGAGTCTTAAGAAGCAGTTAGAGCCCCAGATCCTTTGTTCTACTCCCCACTCCATAAAGACTAGAGGCTTGTCGTCTGGAGAGAGTATAATCGTGGGTCTTTGGGTTAGGGGATTGTCAGTGCAGAGCATGAGGGTGGGTGTGCAGGGTGAAAACAGGAGGACTGAATGAACAGGAGACCAATGCTGAGACTCCTTCTCCAACCTGCTTCCCCACTAGGCTGCAGCCAGAAGACTCTTCTCTGGGGATTCTGAGTAGCTAAAGAATAAAGACACAAAGACGCTGACATTTGGTGGCTTCCCCAGGTCAGACACATTCCCCCTACAGAGAAGCCCCCAGAAGCTCCAATAGAAACTTTTAGAGCCCCACTTTTACACAGGAGTGGAAAACTAAAGATTACCAGGCCACTGAGGAAAACCTCTAATATTTCTAAAGCCTCTAATGTATTAAAATAATTTATTGAAAGTTGGCTGATGAAGAAAGAGATGAAACCATTGATTGATGAATAGAACAAAGATGTGGTATATGCATACAATGGAATATTATTCAGTTTTTTAAGAAAAGAAAACCTGTCATATGCTTTAACATGGATAAACTTTGAGGACATTATGCTAAGTCAAATAAGCCAATGACAAAAAAGACAAATATTGCATGATTCTACTTGTATGAAGTAGAGTAATCAAACTCATAGAAACAGAAAGAATGGTGGTTGCCAGTAGCTGGGAGGAGGAGGAAATGGGGAGTTGTTTAATAGGTATGGAGTTACAGCCATGCAAGATGAAAAAGTTCTAGAGATCTGTTGTTTGACAATGTGCATATAGTTAACAATACTGTGTATTGTGTACAGTACAGTATTTGTACCACAATTTTAAAAAAGAGACTAAAACAAAATACAGAGAGTGAAGCAAATTATAAGAGGAGAAGAAAATGACAAATAGAATTGTCATTCACATCCTCAGGCAGGTAAGAGAAAATATTGTATCTGTGAAATAAAATTAGGGTGCTATTAAAATTATATAAAAAGGAATATCCAGACAACAAAAGAAGAGTTCTTAGAATGAAAACCGTGGTATTAAAATCTCAACAGTAAGAAGAAATTTCCTAGAAAACAGAGCAAAAAGGAAAAGAAATAAAACATATGAGAAATGAAAAGCATGAAAGAAAAAGAAAATTAAAACTAAAAGAAAAGAGAAAGGAAAGAAAGAAAGAAGAAAGAAGAGAAAAGAAGAGAAGAGAAAAGAAAAGAAAAGAAAGACAAACCAGTCCAAAGATCAAGTTAAGAGAATTCCAGAAAAATAAAAGAGAAGAAGAAATCTTCAAAGAGCTTATTTTAAAATGTTTTTCTAGAATTAAAAGACATACTTTTCCAATTAAGAAATGGGCTTACAACCAAACACCACATGTTCTCACTCATAGGTGGGAATCGAACAATGAGACAGTTGGTCACAGGGTGGGGAACATCACACACCGGGGTCTGTCGTGGGGTGGGGGAAGGGGGGATAGCATTAGGAGATATACCTAATGTAAATGATGAGTTAATGAGTGCAGCAAACCAATATGGCACATGTATGCATATGTGATAAACCTACATGTTGTGCACATGTACCCTAGAACTTAAAGTATAATAAATTTTTTTTAAAAAGTAAGGTTTAAAGTGACAACAAAAAATCAAAATGCAGCGGGGGATGGAATTAAGTATTGTTTTTCTCTCTCTTTTTTTGCAATCAGAATTAAGATGTCATCTTAATAATTTATTATAGCTAAAGATAAGCCTTTAAAATAATTTACTACAGCTAAAGCTAAGCCTCATGGTAACTACAAAGCAAAAACCTGTAATAGATACACTGGGGGAAAAAAAGAAAGAAAGAAAGAAAGAAAAAGGCTTACAAAGTGCCTAGGATAATAAATGAAAATAAACTCACACAAAGGCACATTTCCATGACATTTCAGAACTCTTGAAGCAAAAAAATTCTACACAAACTGGGTAGGAGGGGGAGTTATTTTCAAAGTATAATAGCCCAGAATAGCTTCTGACTGCTCAAAAGATCAAAGAGCAATGCCTTTAACATTCTAATAGAATGATTTCCAACCTAGAAATCTTACCTAGACAAACTGTTAATGAAATGTGACAGTAATACAAAAACATTTCAGACTGCACGGCCTCACAAATCTACCTCATACCTTTTCTTGGGAATCTGTTAGAGGATGTGTCTCACCAAAATGAGAGGAGAAACCAAGAAAGAGAAAGATGTGGGCTAGAGAAACAAAAGAGAGAGAGAAAGACATCCCCATAATTACGGTGAAGGAGTATCCTAGGATGAAAACTACATATCAGACATAGAAGATAGTTGGTCTAGATTCGAGAAATGCAGGAAGTTCCAGGAGTAATTTATTCGTGAAACTGATGGAATGCCCAAAGCATATGAACATTTTGAGAGGAGACTTAGACAACTGGTAGAGAGTTTTGGGGTTGAATTAATTACAAGTACATGGAAAACTAAGCTCCACCTATGGAGGAGCATAGAGTTGGGAAGGAAGGATTAATGATGTGTTTTCTGGAATGCTTAGAGCAGCTAGAGTTGGACTGAATCTCTTAGCCAAAGTAAGTAGCTCCAGGGTATAAATTACTGTCAGAAACTCAGTGAATAGATAGGAATATAAATACAGAATGGTCTCTGATAACCTGAAAATATAAAAGTGACTCCCTTACCAAGAGTGGATCCAAAGAATATGGTAAAGCCAATGAAATCACCATACAAATGATTTCCCAAGATTTTCTTTTTCTCCTTTTCAGGCTCATTTGTGGGACAGCTGATTGACAGTTGCCTAACATGAGTGTTTTGAAAACCTTGAATATGTATGACCAGTATTATAATTATGTTATATGTTTATATAGAATGAAGCTAAACAAGACAGCAAAATTGATCTCCTCAGTGAAATTGATCTCCTCAGTGAAACATATGCTTATGATAAACCTCCAGATATCTCTATTTTATTAAGGCAACATATTTCCCACCAGAGATGTACTGTCTGATCCTTTCAGTCATTATGAATATACAGAACACGTGTGTAACAAAGAACACTTGCAAGCTACAGGATATAAGGATAGAAGAAACAAGGCAAAGTGGTGTATTCCCATCTCCTTCTCCTGAATAGCATCAATTAAAATTCACAGCTGCTGGCTGCCCAGATGTTTCTTGCATTTAGTGCTCTGTAATATGCATCAGAATATATTGTATGACCACGGTTTCCATAAACTTGACAGTGCTGTATTCTGAATTCTGCAGACTAGATCCAGTGTGTGTATTTTATCTTCAGATTAGTTTCCCTCCCGCCCCCTGCCCCCCGCCCCTCTGCCCCCACCTTCATTTGCTTGGGGCATTTGCAGTTCAGAAACAAAGACATTTACAGCTCAGAGTTTAGCTGTATCAGGGTGTAAGTGCAGGTCAGGCCTGATTTATGTGGCACTTCTGATAAGCAAGGGAGGAGAGCAGGATGGGGGTTTAGGAAAGCTGGTGAACTTGGCTTGACTTATGTCTTTTGCTTTTGTAGGCAGCCAACATCCCTCTGGTGTCAGAACTTGCCATCAATGACATTCATTTTGATGACTTTTCTCTTGATGTTGATGCCATGATCACAGCTGCTCTCCGGATGTTCATGGAGCTGGGGATGGTACAGAAATTTAAAATTGACTATGAGGTAAGATGTCTGTCTTGGGTGATCCAAGCAGTTCACCTGGGACAATGTGTTAGGCACTCTGAACCACCAGTTTCCCAAATACAAAATGGGGATGATAATCCCTGCCCTGCACACCTCATAGGATTACTGTAGGAACCAGAAGAGATGTTTGTGGAAGGCCTGTGATCATTGAGGGTTACTCAGACATAAGGCACCTTTGAGATAAGGGTCCACTGGAATCACTTGCAACTGCCTGACGCACCCTCTCCCTCCCATTTCAGACACTGTGTAGGTGGCTTTTAACAGTGAGGAAAAACTATCGGATGGTTCTGTATCACAACTGGAGACATGCCTTCAACGTGTGTCAGCTGATGTTCGCGATGTTAACCGTAAGTGTGCTTAGCGATGGTGGAAGATCATTTCTCATTCACAGGAACTAGCAGGCCTTCTCCTTTACGTTTCCATTTCTCTGAAAAATTACCATGTGATCATTTTATGTTGGAACTTACCTGCCCTTGTTATGAAAGTACATATGTGCCAGCAATTTCTGAGCTTGAAAGCTATAATATCGTTGACCCCTTGAAGCCAGTGTAGCCTTGGAATGATTACTTGAGCTTCTCTTCAGTATTTTTTCTGGGTAAACTGGTTCTTTTACAAAAGAAATGCTCAGATTTTAAAAGTAATCTTTTTGTAGAGGAAATGTAGATGAGTAACAGAACAAAGAGATCACTGGATATGACTCTTGGCCAGTAGGAAGGTGTGAACATCACCCACAAGAATATGGAAATCCTGAGAGGATGCCTATTTGAGAGAATGCCCAGGGAGGCCAAGGAGAAAAGAGGGATAGGAGTGCGCGCTCTGCAGGTTTAGGGCTTCCTTGCCTTAAAATCTCCGTCCCACCGGGTTTTAACCCAGTGATGGTGGCCAGTCTGTTTCACGGAGATACCTAGCACAGCTGGGCAGAGGTAAGCCTTGGAATTTAATCTGAAAGCAAATGTTTGTGGCAAAGATTGAAACAAATCCTCTATTTACTTCTTTTGGCAAGAAATAAGGCTTGTTTTGGCACAATTTCTACTACATTGTTACGCTATCAAGTAAAATGTTTTCTGGCTTAAATATGTTGGTTTCTTTGGTCTCCTAGTTATATATACACACGTGTACGTACATATCTGCGGGTGTGTGTAAACAAATTGCCATACCAAAAAAGAGAACGTGAGTCTTGGATTCTTCCAACATAAAGCAAATACCTTATATTTTTGCAGCCAGACTAAAATTTAAACAGAAAATCAGAGCGCCAAATGAAATGCATTTTCCTTTGGTCCAAATGAACAAAGATTATTCTGTTCTGATTCTTCCTCACCAAAAAAAAAAAAAAAAAAAAAAAAAAATCTCTGCCTCATTTTCTGCCTATTAAAATTTTACTCATCCTTTAAGGCATTGATCTAATGCCAATTTTTCTACAAAAGTCTTCCCCTTTCTCCCAAATCATCAATAATTACTTCTTTCCCTGTACTGTATCTAGTACAACACATCTTTCTTGCTACTGTGTATTTTAAGTTACAAATCTGTCATCCTCCTATAGAGTAAGGTGCTGAGGGAAGAGATCATTTCTTGTTCTTTCAACAACATCTACTTATTTGCTCAACCACCATTTACTGAGGGTCGCACCAGCGCCTTGCACTCTGTCATGTACTTGGTGGGTTTTCAAAAAATGTATGTTGAATTGACATGAGCTGAAATGTGCATCTGGCATAAGAAGATGGGGCCAGAATGTCTTTTGTACTAGGGACTTGTGCTTTGGGTCCTCGACTGCTTAAGAAACAGGCAGACTGGCCTGGGAAAACTGGACTGGTTCCATTCTTCTGTTACATCCACCATCAGAAGAGTGAGCCAGTCAAGTGAGAAAGGAAGATGCTTTGAACCATGAGGCTTAATGGCTCAAGTGACAACCATTGCTTGGGGAAAAAAAAAAAATCTTCATTTTGTTTTTCCATAGCATACCTCAGTAAACAAGGTATAATTTTTTTGTGTACAGAGTTCATGTGTCTGGCCCACAGAGGACAGTCAATAAAAAACTTCTTACCCCTTTATTTTGGAAAACCTATGGATTTATGCTGAATTGCCAAAATAAGTAAGCAGGAACCCTGTTCAGTGAAGGGAAAAGAAATGGCTGTGACATTTTTGAGTTAGAAATGTCAAAGACAGAGACAGATTTTTATGACAAGCCTTAAAATAGTTGGAATAGGGGAAACTGGCAAGAGCACCAGGGTCACAGTGGACACTTAGGAGCAAAAGGAAATATATACCCAGTTTTCTGTAGTGGGTACTTCCATTATATGGGCAATTTTGATCCTTTCCAAGAAATTGAAGAAAATAGAATTCTTAAACTATGTCACCACAATAGCGATGCTCATATCATCAGATTATTTCCAGGGTGCAATTGTTTTTGCAAGTATGATCAGCAATCTTGAAGAGCAGCATTGTTGGAGAAGGCTTAGGTTTTGTTTTTTTTGCATTCATGCTAACACAGAAAGAGGAGACTTCATTGTTAAATTTCTCTAAGGAGAGGGGGTGGAGGAGATCACAAAACAGAAACATGACTTCAGAAAGAATACAACGTTATTTTGGTCTCTTTCACATTGTATTGAGTAGCCACATCTGGAAAATATAGTATTTTCTGCTCACTAAATTTTGTTGAACTTAACCAAGGGTTACAGTCAGTTAAAAGTGTCAACATTTGTTTTTCTCTAGCATAAGTTATCTTCTACAAACTTGACTTTGGTCAATCTGGTTAATCAGAAATTTTTAATTAAGAAAATAATTACAGAAGTAACAAAGACTACTCAATCAGTGTAGCTAAAAATAAATTTAACTCACTCATCAATTCTCATCTCTGGAATGTGACGTTGGCCTATGGTAAAATGATGCCCCATTTCTTTCCACCAATGGACACTCATGTTTTGGGCACTCCTGAAGACTCTGAAAGCCTTTCAATGTTTTGATCTTATCAGTGATTAAATTTCCATTCCAGGGATCTCATATTTCCTGTCAGTGGGTTGTGTTAGAACCAAAATTCTCTATTAATCTAGGGGGGAAAAAAGAAAGAAAAGAAATTCACCATATACCAACCATTGGATACAGCCTGGTTAATGTCATAAAGCTAAGTGCTGAGGCTTCCTCTAGATGGCGCTCCAAGGCAAAGTTTCCCAGCTGGTTTCCAGAAAAGAGGGGAAAAAAAAACCTTACCAACCTTCCTTGAAAGTGCTTCTTTTCTTCTAGCACTGAGGTACACACCCCACCACAAAATAAATGTTTTTCCTAAAAGAGATAGCAACAAAACCAGTCTGACGGAAAAAAGCCTCTCCCATCAGGGTGGGCCTGTTTTATGACTGCCACCTTGCATACCATGCTGTTAACGTGAATCATAGTGTTCTCCGTGTGACCTTAAATCTGTGATTGTGTATTTTTCCAAGCCCATTGTCTCTGGGAATGGGGAGATGCATAGTTCTGTGTCACTGCTGAACAAATTTTGGCACCACGTACAACAGGACGAGCAAATTATAAATATATGCCCCAGCTTCCTAACCTTTAACCCTAAAATCACTTCATGGGTGGAAAATAAACCTATTGACTCAGCATTGTGTTTTGCGAAAGTATTCAGGTTCGTGTCTAGGTAACAAAGCGGTTTTGTTCCTTTAGATATTTAAAAGAAAAAAAGAACTACTCTGTAGGACAGGCAAATGATATAAAATGATGAGCATTTTGTTCACTGGGAACCCTGTTAATAACTTATTAATTTGTTCCATGCCTCTGGTCTGAAATTTCACATTTATAAATTTGAAAGCTTCAATGTTATTCTTTGCTTTTAAAGAGATATTTAGGTAGTTAAAATTTCCCAAATACTTTGAATTCCTCCGACAAATACAGTACGTAGTAACAGTTACTATTTGTGGTTAAAATGAGGAAGAAAACCTGCAGATCAGTGATCATCATATAAATTGTCTTTACTAATAGGAGTTTATAGAACAAATATTCCATCATGCGCATATGTAATAAATAAATTATAACTATAAATACATGATGAAAGATGATGGACATATTTCTTAAATTCACGATGTAGACTAGATATAGGAAATGACTCTGCTTTTGTTTGTGTTCTGTAAAATAAAAGGCATGTAGTGGTGCCAAGGTTGCAGAGACATTTTTTTCGGTTTTATAAATGATGTATGAGCTCTGACAGATTTTCCAAGGGGAAAAAAAAGATTTCTTTAAGAGTCAGTATTCTTTACTATCCCATAAATGTACTCATTAGCACTTTGGGCCATGCCCTGCATCCTGTAGGATATCAATAAAGATTAATTAAATGAGTGAATTTAGTTTAGGGTAATATTATTCAAGGAACCATGCTGCTCAGTGTCCAGTTAAAAAAAGCTATAAAATGATGAACAACTATCATTGCTTGAAATCTTGTTCTTTCTTCATATCACACTAAGGTTCAGCTAGGGTTCATATAGAATATTATGATCTTGCAGAATTCACTGGATATGAAAAGAGAAGAGCACATGATCACATTAAAATTTATGGTGGTGCTGGCAGCGTGGCGCTGGTGGGGAATTGCAGTTAAACACTAATAATAACCAAGTATCACAGCAAACACATCGACACCCCCTGACATTTACTGGGGGCTTCTTAAATCTTAATGTGGAGGTAGCATGTTTAAATCCATATTTGTGTTGTCAACAAGGTTATTTTCAGAGATAAGCCAAACCATTTTATTGATAATTCAAACTAGAGAGCAGAAGGGATGTTTAGGGAGAAAATCCATCCTATTCACCAGCTTGAGGCTAATGTTCTGTCCTCTGACTGCAGTTTCCAGGAAAGTCCTTGATTTTAGAGGTAGAAAATTCCTTCTGGAAGATCTTAGACGCACAGCTGAAACTCCTCCCTCCCTGTCCAAGAAATACAGAACCAATTGAAATTTTAAATAAAATATTTTTACTCAATAATCAGAATCCTACTCTCAACAGTAATTGAATTCCTTTGTAGATTGTAACACTGGAAGTTACAAAGAGAGAAATCTAGATGTTTTGTTCTGTAAATGACTAAAATAAAGTAATAAACAGTAATCATATTTGTAATCATCAAATATTGTTATGTTGCATTTTCTTATCAATAAAAGTAGTAACTTGTTATATTTACTTTAAAATAAATGGCAGCATTATCGTAATAATATAATAAAATCTACATGATAGAACAACCAACTCTTTAATCTTCAGGCAGATGTAATCTACAAGATGGCAAATTTTTAATTTAGAAAAGGAGTAATTTTTAAATGTTTTTGCAGAATATCAGCACCAGACACAATAAATTAACTATGGGGCTAATCAAT